AATGAGATTTAAAGACGACTGACTGCTGGACTAGAGCTGTTACCGATTGGATTCCACCGGATGTCAAAAGACCGCGTGGCCGCCCACCTACCAGATGGTCAGACTTCTTCATCAAGATCATGAATGATCGGTTTGAGGCTCTTCATGTTCCTAGAGTGAACAGACGCCATTGGGCTACACTAGCACGTGACAGGGACAAATGGAGACGTTACTGGCACCTGCTCGAGCAAATCGACGATTAACAGGAAGTTATGTGATTAAGTGATTAAGTGAATGATGCAAATAAAAATAAATTTGTTTCTATAATTTATATTAAATTAAATTATGAAAACAACAAAAGTACTTAACTAAAATGTTAATAAGAGAATTCAATATCATTTTTTTGCTTTCATAGACTTATCATGTGTATTTGTACGTCCTCACAAAATATTTTATTTATACATTTGGAGACATATAATGTGCATATGAAGAACATTTTAGAGGCTTAAGTGCACCCAAATTTCTAATCTATTGATTTTCTGTCAGTGTTCTTAATCTGGAGTTACTTATGTGTCATGAATTCCTGTCATGTTACCATGAAATAAACCAATTTAATCACTGGATAATCATCCTTTTTTTTTTGTAAGAGACTACACTTTTCTCACTTTTTGTGTCTAGTGGTTTTGTGGTCTTTACTAAGGTTGTTTCTGAATTTTAGCTTACTACTTCTTTAGGAATGCACGACAGAGCCTGGTAAGCTCTCCGTGGTGTATTCGATATGCCAAAAACAGTAACAACAAGTCTCACAATGGAGATGTTACTGGTGCCTGCTCGAACAAATTGATGAACAACAGGAGGACGGTGCTACAGTGCTACTTCTTCTTCTTTTTTTTTTCCTTTCATTTGGCTCCGGTTTTGGGTTCTTTTGGTTTTTTTTTTTTAATTTTGAAAATTTTAATGAATCACCATGAGATAAGGTTACAGATTTACAAATTTTCATTCTTAAGTTTCAGTTTATACAATGATCGAGTGCCCATACCTCCACCAGTGCCCTTTCTTCACCACCCATGTTCTCAGAATCCCACCCATAACCCCCATTCCCCCACCCTCTCCCTCTCTGCCTCTGTGATAGGTATATTCTCTCTCTCTCTCTCTCTCTCTCTCTCTCTCTCTCTCTCTCTCTCTCTCTCTCTCTCCCGCTTTCCTTTAGGGTTGTTGTGGTCTAGAATGCAAGTATTAAATTGCCATCATGTTCCGTCTATAGTCTACCTTCAGCGTGAATCTCCCATCCTTTTTTTTTATTATTATTATTAGTGAAACACCATGAGGTACAGTTGTAGATTTACAAATTTTTGTGCTTGGATCTCGGTCATACCACGATCAAATACCCATCCCTCCACCAGTGCCCATTTTCCACCACCAGGATAATATCCCTCCTCCCCCATCCCCCCATCCCCCCATCCCCCCCTGCCACTGTGGCAGGGCATTCCCTTTTGTTCTCTCTCTCCTTTTGGGTGTTGTGATCAGCAAAAGAGGCATTGAGTGGCGAACATGTTCAGTCCAGTCTACTTTCAACCTGCATCTCCCCTCCTGGGAGGATCCTCCAAACACCCTCCACTTGGTGTTCCCCTTTCTATCTGAATTGTCCTTTACCCTAGAATACCCGGCTGGCCTCTAAGTTATGGAGTAATTCTCCTGGTGTTGATCTCAGCTATTCTTGGGTATTAATCTCATATTTTGTTACTTTATATCCCCCAGATGAATGCAATCTTTCTATGTCTATCCCTCTCTTTCTGACTCATTTCGCTTAGCATGATACTTTCCATATTGTACCACTTGTATGTAAAGTTCATGACTTCATCTTTTCTAAGAGCTACATAGTACTCCATTGTGTAGATGTACCAAAGTTTCTTTAACCAGTCATCTGTTCTTGGGCACTCAGGTCTCTTCCAGTTTCTGGCTACTGTAAAGAGTGCTGCAATGAACAAACAAGTGCAGATGTCACTTCGGCTATACATTTTTGCCTCTCTGGGATATATTCCCAGGAGTGGTATCGCTGGGTCAAATGGGAGCTCAATTTCTAATTTTTTGAGGAACGTCCATACTGTTTTCCAAAAGGGCTGAACCAGTCGGCATTCCCACCAACAGTGAAGGAGTGTCCCTTTCTCGCCACATCCGTGCCAGCAACGGTTGCTTTTGTTCTTTTGAATGTGGGCCAGTCTCTGAGGTGTGAGATGGTATCTCATTGTGGTTTTGATCTGCATCTCCCTGATGATTAATGATGTAGAGCATTTTCTCATGTGCTTTTTTGCCATTCGGATTTCTTCTTTGAGAAAGTTTCTGTTCATTTCATTGCCCCATTTTTTGATGGGGTTGGATGTTTTCTTCTTGTGGAGTTCAACCAGTATTTTGTATATCCTTGATATCAACCCCTTGTCAGATGTGTATTCGGCGAATATTCTTTCCCATTCTGTAGACTGTCTTTGTATTTTGGTCACTGTTTCTTTGGAGGTGCAGAAGCTTCTTAGTTTAAGATAGTCCCATTTATCTATCTCTGTTTTCACTTGCTCAGCCAGTGGTGTGTCATGTTTGAAAATACCATTAGCCTCAATGTCATGGAGGGTTTTGCCAACTTTGTCTTCAATGTATCTTATGGTTTCTGATCTGATGTTGAGGTCTTTAATCCATTTTGATCTTACCTTTGTACATGGTGTTAGGCAGAGTTCTGAGCCCATTTTTTTGCATGTAGCCGTCCAGTGATGCCAGCACAATTTGTTAAAGAGGCTTTCCTTACTCCACTTCACATTTCTTGCACCTTTATCAAAGATTAGATGATCATATGATTGAGGGGAGATGTCAGTGTATTCAACTCTGTTCCATTGGTCTGCAGTTCTGCCTTTGTTCCAGTACCATGCTGTTTTGATTATTACCGCTTTGTAGTACAGTTTGAAGTTCGGGAGGTTGATTCCTCCCATTTTCTTTTCCCCAAGAATTGCTTTAGCTATTCATGGGGGTTTATTGTTCCATATAAATTTCAGGAGTGTTTGCTCCATTTCTTTGAAGAATGTCATGGGTATCCTTATAGGAATTGCATTGAATTTGTACAGTGCTTTCGGTAGTATTGCCATTTTGACAATGTTAAGTCTCCCGACCCATGAGCAGCGGATGTCTTTCCATTTCCTCATGTACAGTGCTACTTCTTTAGGAAAACTGTAAACTTTACTAAAGATTAACAACTGATTTTTTTCTTGCATTTTTTCCCATGATCAAAAACTGGAGTTAATATGAAAGCAGCAGTTAGAAAAAGGGCATTTGATAATGAAAAAAGTTAGGCTATAATTAGTGGATTTGAAACAGTTACCTTTTATAATATTTAAGATTAATTAAAGATTAATAAAAACAATGTTATCTTTATTCTCATAAAAGGTATTAGTGATCATAGTGAAACTTACATTGTGTACCATCAAATGTACATCTGAACACAGAAATATCCCGAATGGTCATATGACGGTGACTCCTAACCTTTATCTCCCTCTTTATAACCCCCTGGAAAAGACTATAGACAGATTGCTATTCACAGTCTATTCAGATACACTAGAGTACTGAGCTATATTACAGAAAGAGAGAAACATTTCCTTTATTATCTGGAGCAGATGTTGACTATGTTCTCTTCACCTGTCCAACTATAATCCAATTTCCCCCCCCCCCCCATATTTGAGCTTCAGAGCTCTAAGCTCATCCCCCAGGGTTATAATGAAGGGTCTCTGCCAGTTATGGGTGTAAGGGTCTCATTACCTTGGAAGAACTTGACTTGGCACAAAGCTTCATGTCTTTCATGGCTTAGCAAGAAGAATGCTCTTGATTTCAGAGCATGTTGGTGGTGTTTTCTGGACAAGAAAGAGTGACACAAAGGAAAAGAAATGGTCCCTTTTCTGTTCTGGACTTGACTTAACATGGTCATGTTAAAGCATGCCTAGTCTTCATCTAACCTGTAGGAGAGAAAGCCTGAGAACACAGCACAGGAATTGAACAGCATAGTAACTGAAACCTTTGATTTAGATTTGATGAAAACATTCAACATATTTAATGAAATAGAAACAAGCAGAGTACTTACCGAGATCATACTGCTGTCAGTATAATTAATAATCAATGAGTTACTCTATCTCCCAGTTTTTTAGTTCTCTATTTTTTTTTAAATTTTTATTTTAGGCTTAAAATTGCTTACATTGAACATCTTAGCATTTTATATAGGGCAGCTACATGCAAAGCAAGCACCTTACCTTGTGCTTGCCTTGATAAAGGCAAATGATAAATTATCATTACAGCACTAATTATATGTCTTTATCAAGATAATTGTGAAGTGGTTTGAAAGACAGGAGCATAGGATTACATCACAGCTTTTCTAAGGTAAGCTTTTACTCATGGTTGTGTTGACTAAGAGATATTAGAATTTGTCCATTCCTGCTAGTTTTTAAATTCTAAGTTCACCTGTGTTTCTAAAATATAAAAGATAGAAACAAGCCTTTTAAAAACTTCTTCAAGGGCCAGAGAGATTGTGTAGTGGGCCCAGTGCTAGCCTTACAGGCGGTTGACCTGGGTTTGAACCCTGGCATCCCATATGGTACCCCAGGTACTGCCAGGAGTGATTAGTGAGTGCAGAGCCAAGAGTAACTTCAGAGCATTTCTGGGTGTTGCCTCAAAATAAACAAACCAACAAACCTACTTCATAATGTAGGACATAGAACAGTTTAATCAAAAAAGTGACAAAAGTCAAACAAAACAAGAAACTTCAGAACATTTTGTTCATGAGTATTTTAATGAAGATCAAGTTTTGGTTCATATTTGGCACATTCTATATATTTCATTAAAATATAAATATAACAATTACACTAGAATTTTGAAACCTTTTTTACCATTGTACAAGATAAATTTCTCATTTCCAGACACTGTAATTTTGCATAAATGACACATAGTAGTATTTGACATAAATGACACATTGGTGGTATTTGATATTGATGATTCTATTTGAGATGACTAGATATGGTCTCCAGGCCTCCTGATGATCTGCCATATAGTGGATTTGAGAAGGAGTATACAGAACTCTAAAGAAAAAGACATTGAGAAAGTTAGAATTCTAGGCATTAAAATTGGAGACTTCTGACAAGAAGGTAGAAGGCTGTCAATTTATATCGGGTTTATACTGCAGTCATAATTAGGAAATCCTGACTTTCCTGTCTATACCTCCATTTCAATGGTTTGAGTCATTGGACCCAGCCTAGGATTGATGTAGTGTGTCCTCTGCATTCTCTGTGCAGAGAAAGTACTGCCCCATCTTCACGTGGGATATGAAAAGGCCATGGGCACTATCCTGACTGCATCATTTTTAGGCGCTAGAATCTCTAAGTCTCCTCTATTGATTTTAGTTAAGTTAAATTAGACAAAACACATGTAACTTTTAAAATCCAAAGGCATCAATTTGGGAGAATTTGAGTTTAGAGTTTATCAGGAAATGTAAAATCTGAGAATTCTATATAGCAAAAAAGTGATTGCTTTAAATAAGTGCATTCAAAAACTAGAGAAAAATGATACCGAACAGATTAAAGAGACTGAAGATTCATCTACAAATTTGGATGTACATACTTTATATGGAGGTATAATTTTAAAATACATTAACAATAAAAAATCGATGACATGTGTAAGACAGCCAAAGTATAATGACTGAGTATTTTAGAGTATCAAGGGACTACCGTTCACATTTTTTGTGCAATTCCGTGGATATATAGGCCTGGATATATATGCCCTTATATTTTCATGATACAACTGAAACCTTTACACCTGAAAGTACATGATACCTGGGGTTCTCTTAAAAACACTTGGCTGGTCACCAAGAAGGACACTTAAAGTAAGTCATGGGCTTTGAATAATAATGCTGTTAGTATATATACTTTTATCTGTTACATCAAATGTACCACTTTATTGCTTTCTGCTGAAAAAAAATGTCTATGCAGTGAAAGAAGGGGACATATGAGAACTTGTGGCTTCTACTCAGTGTTCATCCAAAATTAAACGTGATTTTAAGTAAATATAGTTTGCTTAGAAACATCACCACTCTGGTAGGGGGATATTTGGAAATGATGGCCAAAGAGATGAGACAAAAGTGACTTGGGTGGAAAAGGGTTGAAGCTAGCTAATATGTATATGTTAGTTCATTCTTCTCTTAATTTCTAACTCACAATTTTTTCTCTGAGTGTTCAGAATTTTTCATAAACTGTTTCTCTTTGCTACTATCAGAGAAGATAGTAATAATTTAATTAACATAAAATCATTTGCTTCTGAAATCAAACAATTCCCAAAGTCAGTACTATGACAAAAGTTTGTAATGGAGAGGGAAAGGAGTGTGGAAAATAGATAATTTTTCTTTTACTAGAATGAAAGTAAAAAGATTGCTTTCAAGGTTCACTGATGAGAGTCACCAATTTAAATGGGTTGAAGAGTAGGGAAATGTCTGAAAAACATTTTAAATGGTGGCTCTTTTATATGGACCCTCTATCCTATTCTTACAAAACCGTCTTCCCACTAGGAAGTCAAGCAACTTCTTAGCAACTTTGTAGATACTATCACTTGGAGATGTTAATATAAAACATTCCAAACCTAAACCACATCACTTTCATTCCTCATATCATTTTTTGTCTTTCAACTACTGAAAGTTAAAATAAAGGATGAAAAGGTCTTTTAAATATAAAAACTGAACATAAGGCGGTAACAGATAAAGTGCAAATGATAAATCACATACCTTGCTGAATGAGGTCATAGGTTTGAACCCACTCCTGGGCACTACCAGGAGTAGGCCACACAACAATAAAAATCATGAAAATAAGTTTATGTTACGTATTTCTACTTCAAACAAAAGATACATTTGCTTCTTAAATATGCACTGTTTATGGGTTATCTATTGAGTAGGGCTATGCTTTCATTTTTTTTTTTTATTTATTTATTGAATCACTGTGGGAAAGGTTACAAAGCTTTCAGGTGTAGGTCTCAGTCATGCAAATATCAAACACATTTCCCTTTACCAATACTTATTTTTTACCATGAAGAACCCCAATAAAACCCCACCCCCCCACCCCTCCCCGTCCCTGTGAGGCAGATGAATTCTAGTTAACACTCTATCTGCTTTGATTAGATTCATTGTTTCAATAAAAGATTCACCACTATTATTTAGAGTTTACCCCCCCCCAAATCAGACATGCTGAAAAAGCATTGTGAAGTGATTTGCTTTCTACAGCTGGGTTCAAGAATTTAATGTTGGTTTTGGATTTCTGCTATTTTACCTATTGACCGTGGAAGTATTTCTACTGAAAGTCAGATAGTTAAGAAATTGGTTTCTGTGTTCTGGAGTCGTGGCCGTGCTGGAGAGCCGCTCGCGGGGGGCAACCGGTGGCCTCGGTAGGGCGTGAAGGGCGGAGCGAAACGCCCCCCTTCCCATGAGGTTTTAGTCGCCCCCACACTCCCGGCTCATACCTGCTGTCCACAAGGCTCCCATGTGGCCGCCATCTTTCTTTCCAGAGAGGAGAGGGAGAATGGGGCAACACCCTTTCCCCTCCGGCAGACTTGATGGACTGGATCAATGCATAGTCCGTTCACTTTTCTGCTCCAAGCTGCTGGGTTCTGCATTAAGTCCTTGTGCTTCTGGGACCATGGCCGTGCTGGAGAGCCGCTCGCGGGGGGCAACTGGTGACCTCGGTAGGGCGTGAAGGACGGACCAGAACACCCCCCGACCCATGAGGTTTTAGTCGCCCCCACTCCCCCGGCTCATACCTGCTGTCCACAAGGCTCCCATGTGGCCGCCATCTTTCTTTCCAGAGGGAGGAGGGCGGAAGGGAGCACCACCCTTTCCCCTCTGGGCAGAAATATGCTTTCATTTTTAGGATGTCTTATTTACTTGACAAATCAGTTAGATTAATTCTGTCTGTGCTCTGGGAAATATTTTACTCCATGTTTTCATTCTTATCTAAACCACATGTTTGTTTCCTCGTTTGGAAGAAAGTATAGAAATTAAAAAGTCAATGACTGTGTTAGACTTTAACCAAAAAAAAAAATCCCCAAACCCAGAAAGTACTAGAAACTGTGATTTGACACATTATTTTTTTTTCAATAGCAGTAACAACGATGTATGACCTATTTTCATTTTAAAATGTAGGAGCAAACTAAGACATTGACTTTCTGTATGCTTTCTGTATTTGACAAGGAAACTAATCACCTCACTTGTATCACTTGTCATCCTGTTGATCATCGATTTGCTCGAGTGGGCACCAGTAACATCTCCATTCTAAAGGAAACTAATGGAATTGAATATCTCTAAAATCAGATCTCAGAAAACTTTTATAGATTGGAAGTAATGTCATAGATAATTATATTTCATACCCAAAAAAGTACTCATATGATCTATTTATAAAGGCATAATAAAGAAACCAGAACAGGGATAATAGTACTGGGGTTAGAGTGACAGTACTGTGGGTAGACCACTTGCTTTGCATAGGGATGACCCTGATTTGATCCCCAGTACCTATCATTCCCTCGATCCCTGTCAGGAGTGATCATTGAGTACAGAGTCAGGAGAAAGTCCTTGAGAGGAGCTAGGTGTGGCCCCAAATAAAAAAATCGAAACAAATAAAAAGTATGGGTGAATTTCCTGGTCATTTTCTCTCCATTCTGTTACTTATTGCACAGATAAGGGGCCCTTAGCAGGCCAAGAAAAACATAATGCACTTAGGTTGCCTTTCTTCTTCTGGGTGATCAGAACTTGGCCCTCACTGCTCACATCTAAATTTAAAGAAAGCACACAATGCTCTCTTCTCTTTTGTCTTTTGAGAAGAAAATAGAAAAAGAGTCAATAACTAGTTACTGTGAATAGCTGACTAATACTTTGTGGGTTAAGCTGATATTTTCCAGATTGTCGGTTCTCCTTGCCTAGGAACAGTGACCACAAAACCATTTAACATTGCACTGGATTTACAAGCAATCTGAAACTGGAACGGAAGGGAAAATTCTCATTGCACATTTAAAGAGAATGAAACATCTTCCCATCCTCAGTTGAATTCGTTCTACTAAAACATTTCCCTTGGCCACAGTGTGAAAAAATGCCCAAACATCACTGTGGTTACTTGTGTCTGCATGTGTGTTTCTGCCTATGAAACAAAACAGTTCACTATTACCACTCACCTCTGTTTTCTCCGAGTTGTTCCAATTCCCATAAACTGGATTTTCGAAGGCACAGTTAACCATTTCTTTATTTTTTCTTAAAGCACACAGGACCAAAAGGAAAAAAAAAGAAGGAAAGTATTTAAATATAACAGTACATTTTCAGGATATTAGCTGGTATAAGTTTTTGAGAGACACACAGTCTAGCCAGTGTACTTATTTTTATGAATGCATTACCATAAAAGTATTTTTTTTTACAAGACACTAAGATAACCACATTTTTCAAAGCAATTGTAATTTGAGTTTTGGGTGTTTAGATTCCAAATCAAAAGCACCTGCTGTTTTAAAAAACTTGACTTTTGTTTTAATTGTCCCTCAACAATAGCATAATAACTAAGTAAAAGTGGTATTAAGGAAAGTTTACCTTGAAATCTCTTAGTCTCCCAAAGTGCCAAACTACCGATCCTGAAAATTTTTTCAGAGGCAATGTCAAGGAATAGAGCACATGAGTCAGTCTGATATTTTGTTTTATTTTATTTTATTTTATTTTATTTTATTTTATAGGTAATGTCTAAGCATTACTTAAGAGACCTAAGGCCCACTGGCAGGTCTTGACCAACTGGTTGGGTTCAATGCAAGGATAATGAGGATATAGTGTTTTTATGCTCTGTGGTGTTTGGGTTTCTCAAGATATCCCTGAGTGCTCAGGGGCTTTCAGGACTGCTCCCAGCAACACTCAGGCTGGTGGGGGGGTCATGTAGTGACGGGAATCAGACCTAAGTTGGACATATGCTAGGTGTACATCTAATCTCTGTACTGTACTGACTCCTGGCCTCTAGTCTAACACTTTTTCTAAAAATATAAATTTATTTTTAAAATTGAATTTCCGTGAGATACTGTTACAAAGTTTTCATGATCAGGTTTCAGTCATGCAATGTTCCCACTCATCCCTCCACCAGTGCACATTTCCTACCACCAACATCCCCAATATCCCCCCTGCCACCCTCCCCCCCTCCCCAGCCTGCTGCTATGTCAGGCACTTTTTTCTCCCCCTCTCTTCCCCCTCCCCTCCCCCTCGCTCTCCCCATCTACCTCTCTCTCTCTTTCTATTTTTGGGTATTATGGTTTGCAATACAGAATCTGGTAGGCCATCATGTTTGGTTCTTTACCCACTTTCAATACACATCTCCAGAGCAATCTCTTCCAGCCATCATTGTCATAATGGTCACTTCTCTATCCCAGCTGCCTTCTCCCACAACCCTTGATGCAGGCTTTCAACTGTGAACCAATCCTCCTGGCCCTTGTTTCTATTGTCCTTGAGTGTTTGTCTCATACTATGATGTTTGTTTTTTTTATATCCCACAAATGAGTACAGTCATTCTATGCCTCTTCTTCCCCTTCTTAGTCTAACACTTTAAACAGCAAATTAAAGATTGTTTTGAAGCACTCATTATGATAGTTTTTCTCTCCTCTCAAACTGTAAAATAGATATGTCTGTGGCAATCAAACATATTGATCTAGAACCACATAATTTACTGTGATGAACCAGGCTCCATATTGATCATTTTCTTATTGTATTTTAATTACTTAAAGTCAAGTGACTCATTAGAAGACAACAATACCATTTCCAACTGAAGGAGGGATAAAATGCCCATCACAAGAAAAACTGCATGAAATATACACACTTCTTCAGTAGAACATAAAGTGTTGCTGGTGGGTGAGTGGGGGTAGGGACACAGAGCAGGAGGCATCCACGAAAGAGAGGGGAAAATGCTACTCCCTTCTGTTTGTCCTCCCACAACTTTGCCAGTGACTGGGGAGATTAGGACTCATAGTAGCCTGTGCACTCCCCATTACCATAGGCTTTAAAGTCCTGACTCCACCTAATCAGTCCCTAGGTTCTGTGTCTACTCTCACAAAAAAGAAATATAACTCTTTTTGGGAAAGAGAGAGGGGAGAGAGAGAGAGAGAGAGAGAGAGAGAGAGAGAGAGAGAGAGAGATAGAGAGAGCGAGCAAGACAGAACTAGATAAAGTACAAGAAATTTATCACACATTCTCAAGTTGGCAAGTAGAAAACTTTGAATGAAGTGGTCCCGAACACTCAAGAAGTTGCATATATAGACGAAAGGGTGTGAATGACTTTGGGGTACGGAGCATGAGGCTTTCTTTTCAATTTTTTTCAAACTTACGTTTTAATTGAGACATTGTATCTTTATTGTACTTGCATATTTTAAGTTATATCACGGTCACGGTCCTCCCGTTGTTCATCGATTTGCTCAAGCGGGCCCAGTAATGTCTCCATCATAAGACTTGTTGTTACTGTGTTTGGCATATTGAATATGTCACAGGTAGCTTGCCAGGCTCTCCGAGAGGGGCAGAGGAATCGAACTTGGGTTGGCCATGTTGGCTGCGTGCAAGCAAAGGCTCTACCCCCTGTGCTATCGCTCCAGCCCTTTCAAGTTATAAACCTATTCTATATGATCAAGATGGAATTGTACAATATTTATTCTTTGGTTTGGTAGATCATGGCTGGAGAAATAGGTCAGTGGATAGAGAATTTTCCCTGCTTGTAGCTGGCTCAGGTTCCATCCCTGACATCCCATATGGTCCTCTGAACACTGTCAGGAGTGATTCCTGAGTGCAGAGCCAGGAGTAATCCCTGGGCACCTCTGTGTGTGGGAACCCCCAAAAGACAAGGATAATTAACATTTCAGCGTGTATAAGAACTTGAATCATTGTATGACTAAATAAGATTCCATCATTGTACATGCATGCTGTTTTGTGTAACCTCTCACCTGTCAACAGGCACTTGGGTTAGTTCCACATTTATCTGTTGTGTACAAAGCAGTTATAAATAGTTGGAGAAATTTTTTTCTCTATTAAATAGACTGAATACCCTTGTCAAAAAATTAATTGATTATGGAGGCTGGAAGATGGCTTGATAGCTTAAGGTACTTGCCCATCAAGTTTGAAGTTCATGTTTTTAAATCCAAGTTCTCCTCACACTGAGTTTATCTCTACAGATGTGCTAAGATCCCTAGTAAGAAACATCTAGGAAGAAAGCTCAGAGACTTGTGCCAAGGGCTAGACTGAAGTCTGAGCTCAATCCCTGCTTATGCATCAAGAAGATCCTGCCTGGGGTCTCAGATGAAGGGGGAAAACCAATTGGTCATAGAAGTATGAATTTATATATGGGTTCTCAATTTTAGTTCACTGAAATATATGTTCATATGTCAACATGAGGGCTGGAGAGATAGCACAGTTGGTAGGGTGCTTGCCTTGTATGAGCTGACCCCGGCTGACCCAGGTTCGATTTCTCCGCCCCTCTCAGAGAGCCCGGCAAGCTACCGAGAGTATGTCGCCCACACGGCAAAGCCTGGCCAGCTACCCATGACGTATTTGATATGTCCAAAACAGTAACAAGTCTTGTTACTAGTGCCCACTCTAGCAAATAGATAAAAAACGGAAGGACAGTGCTACAGTGCTATGTTAACATGATATTTTTGTTTGCTGTAGCTTGATGATAGGTTTTGACTTCAAGAAAAAGATTTCCCCAACCTTGTTCTTTTTAAAGAACATTGTGACTCTAGTACACCTCCTGTTCCACCTGAATCTGAGAATTAGCATTTACATTTATGTAAAATGGCTGTTAAATGTATGCACTCAGTATAAGAGTTAAGTTTTGGAATCAACCTAGATGTTCAAAGACCGATAAGTGGGTCATGAAGATGTAGTATATATATTCAATAGAATACTACACAGCTGTAAGTAATATGAAATCATGTAAATTGTGGATAGAACTTGAAGATATCATGTTAAATTAAGTAAATAAGAAGAAAAAAGAAACAGTATTACACCACTTATATGTGGTATTTAAAATTTATAATTGGATGAAGAAATGCACTGTTTTAAAGGTGGGAGGCAGGGTGTCTGGGTCAACCTTGGACCCAAAGTATAGGGAAGAGAAAGGAAAGAAAGAGTGGAAGGAAATGGGAGAAGAGACAGCTGAGAAGCAATGGGGGCCAGCCAGGTCAATGGATTCAAGTACATCAGGGGTGTTAGAAATAATAGAGCCAAATATCCAAACCACAGACTCAACACCACTGAAATCAAGAGATCCAAACTTTAACAACCAAACTTAGGAAGATGCCTTGTCAGGAGGGTGGGCCAGTGGAGGGCAAATGGGAGAGAAACCGGGAACATTGGTGGAGGAAAGTTAACACGGTGATGGGACCCATGCTGCAATATTGTATGTCTAAAACGTACCTATGAATAACTTTGCAAAGAACGGTGCTTTAATACAATTCTTTTAAAAAGAAAAAAAAAGACTATTAGGGTTTTACTAGGGATTGCCTTGAATCCACAGATTTGGGTTGTATTCAGAGTTTGACAATACCAGATTTTCTTATCAAGAAGCTCAAGTTGTCTTTATATTTATTTGGTTTTCTTTAATTTATTTCAATAATGCTTTGTAATTTTAGTATAATTTTACAAGTCTTTAACCACCCTAGTTAAATTTATTCCCAGGTATTTTATTCTTGTAGAGGCTATTGTCAATGTAATTGCTTCATTAATTTCTTATTCATCCCTTTCATTGTTACTGTTTAGGAGCATAACTTTATCTTGCAGCTTTGCTGAATCCATTTATTGGCCCTAGTAGCTTTATTGTGGATTCTTTGGGATATTCTCTATGTACACAATCATGTTATTTCTGAGTAGAGGTAATTTTATTTTATCCTTTTCAATTTTGATGGCTTTGATTTTTTTTCTTTTCTGCAGTCTTTGAGTAAGGTTTCTTATAGATAAGCATATTCATCTTTAGCTTTGTGGACTATAAAACATGCACTTATATAAAACAATTATTATGCTAGAGTGTATGAAAATTATTGTGGTACTATCTGGGCAGTTTTAGGGTAGAATTTGATTGCTGTTCAATGCCTCTTTAGATAAGCAAATTAAACCTTTATTGAAGTTGAAAAAAAACAGGGCAACAGTGAGCATAGGTGACTATCTGATCGTTGAATAATGGCTATCAGGGAATAAAAGGCAAGAATGACAAGAGAGAATGACAGAAAAGGGGCTAAAGAGACAGGACA